AGAAAGGGCAATTTTTGTTCACTATAGAATGTCAAGTGAGTACATGTACATGAATGTTACTTACAGAGCTGAGTTTTGAGGACAGACACCCACAGACAAGCTAAAAGGGGAACTAGATGCTAACTATTGGTGGAGTGAGTATTGGAGGCCTGTGGAATATTGAGATGCTAGCACAGCAAAGGACTCCAGATATCACTGATGATGGAACTGATGTCCTGCAGAAAAATCCTGTGCCAGACATCCAAGGCCTTTCAGACTCGGCAAGGATTGCGGCACTCAATACTTATGATGAGGTGCTACCGATCGGTAAAATGCTGAATTATCAAAAATTTCCTGCAATCTCCCCAAAGAACCATGCGCCTTATGTTCATGGAGTCCAGCGCTAAGATCCTCACCGATGTACCCAATGCAGACCTTTCTGTATTCACAGGTGTTACATCAGGTAAGGTCTCAGAGTCTTACTCATCCTTGTAGGCTATTGCAGATCATGTTAGGCATGGAAAACCTAGATGCCAGTGTCATTCAGGAAGGACTAAATGCAATAAGAGCTGCCTATGAAGGGAAGTGTAATGGGCCAGATGAACCTGATGGGTAGACCTTGAGTATACGAAACACTTCAGTCAGTGAAAGACTTTGGATCAAGTGTCTCAACTTGATGTACCCCAAATCGGTTGTGTTGGATTGTTGCCTTGACATAGCAAAGTTGTCGCAGGAGAAGATCGTGGTCAACGATGAAGGATTGCCAGACAAGGGTGCCAATGACTGATGAATAGATCCCAGGGCACTGGACAGATTGATTGTGGAGATGCCTATCAATGTGTGGCTCTCTGATAGACAAAAGGGCTGAGGATACTGCCAGACTGCCTGGAGGCCTCAATATCCAGGAAGAAGATTCGATCCAAGGTGAGCCAGATGCTGCTGTGTGTGAACCAGCTGAAGTGTCTCAGGAACTGCTGGAGGTACTGTGCTGTGTGATAAAATGATGAAAGTGTCATTCATAAAACTGAAGATAACTGTTGCTCTCAAATCCACGAAAGCTGTACAGAACTATATGATGATATTGGCCAGAACTGGAGATGGGGTTAATCCTGTGGAAGTTCCAGCTGACTGCTTGAAGAATTGACCTGTCCACTGGATGAAGGACGGCAGGATGTAGATGGGTAGGAGATCACAAACCTAATCCAGAGAGAGGGTTTCACACTCACACAGCTTGTCTTCATGAAGGTTTCCTGACCGAGACCTTGAGACATGCCTCACCCATGGGATTGGTGATGAATACCTGGAGTCTCCACTGAAGCTGCACATGGCTTTGTTGGGATCACAAGTAAAGGTGTTCGCAGGAGCGGCAGCGCGGCGGCGCGGCGGCAGCGCGGCGGCGGCGGCGCGGCGGCAGCGCGGCGGCGGCGCGGCGGCAGCACAGCAGGTGATGGTGATGGTGGTGGTGAGGGTGAGGGGGGTGGTGAGGGTGAGGGGGGTGGTGGCGGCCGCCAGTGGGGGTGATGGGGATGGTGAGGGTGATGATCCCAATGACACCATGAGCGCAACCTCACAGTGTTCCCAACTACACCATGGTCAACCCCGATGAAGGCTACCAGATATTCACTGCCATCCCCACAGGCTACTCATGCCTCGGTGCCAAGGGGGACTCCGACTTGACTACGCCCTGCAGAAATATGAAGCCCCACACTCCAAACCAGGTTCATGATCTGCGACCCACCTACATCCTGCTGTCTTTCTTCCAATGAACAGCCAGTTGTCCAAGCAGCCTTCTGGAACTACCACAGGATCAACTCTATCCCCAGTTTTAGTCAATGCCTTCATATAGGAGTACTGCCTTCGTAGATCTGAGACCAAGAGTTTGTCTTCAGTACACGGATGAGACTCTCATCACTTCATCATACAGCATGGGACCTCCAGCAGGTCCTGAAAGACTTCAACTGGATTTACAGCAGCATCTGGCGCAGTGAGGATCAGGCGCCTTGAATCTCATCCCCGGATGCTAAGGTCTGAAAACAGTCTGACAACACCCTCGACCCCTGAGTCTATTAGAGATGACCGACAGACACTGACTGGCAACATCGACAACCAATCCTTCCTGCACCCGGAAATCCAAACACCAGTCAAAGAGCAACCTTGTCCGGGAAGCCTGCATCAGCAACCACAATCCTGGCCGGCAACAACTTTACCATATCAAGACAACACTACAACACAACAGATTCAAGGCTCATCCAGTCAAGACGCAAGATCCAAAGTCTTTCACCTACCAAAGGGTCCCCTACACCCAAGGTCGAACCCACTAGGCTCACCCCGCCTATTACACAGCCCAACACAGGCAGTTCTCATCACATCCAGTACTTCCCAAATGACAAAGGTATCCGGGCTTTCCACACCCACAAGATCCACTATAGCCCACAGGACAAGCAAGCCTCCAAGACCGAACCTGATGCATCCCCTGCGAATGCAGAAGGTGTACACTGGGTACACCAGCAAGAGAACTCAACGCCAGACAGCACAAACACAGAGCACATGGCAGATGGGGAGAATTACAGGAAATCAGTGAACACCCAGCACTCACCAAAAGGGACACCATCATCATGAGTATCAAGCAGCTACATCCATGCTCTGTCCGTCTAGCAATGAAGGTCAGCAAACAGACGATAGCTCCGCAAAACTTCAGCATCACCATCAGAGACATCTGTTACCCTCTACATGTACGTAGTAGCTCAAACATCCACAGACCTCCAATTGCCTTCCTCCTCCAATTTCTTAGACCTCCTCCTCCAATGTCTTCTAAGGATGTGATGTTTCATTTTGTAAATGTTTAGCACACATTTAAAGAACCATCTCAATGTTGAGCCCTTTCACAAAGACTGACGACTGCCCATTATGCAGACCAACATGATCGACACAACAAATAATAAATGAGTAACATAATAAAAAGAGGGCTGTCATTGAAAACAATAAAAAAGATGAGCACGCAGCCTGAAAGTAATCTAGTACTGCAGTTCTCCTTAGCTTCTAGCAAATTGAATAGGTTTGGATTATTTTTGTTATGCATGCTCAACTCAAAGGAAGATAGTGGAAAATAGGTTCCTGTTTTTAAAATTTGAGTTTTGTTAAAACTTTTGGAAAAGTACGATTTAGAATTTTGTTTATTTTAAATGTGTAAATGTCACATCCATAATTTCCTCACTCCACCAATACATAGTTCCCCTTGCCTGTGGATTTCAGTTTAATGTTTACACTCAGCCTGCAGAGGGCAAAAGTACTTTTTGATATCAGATTTTATATATTCATTGAATTTGTTAAAAGCACAAGTAAATTAATGTGCACAGTTTAACTGGCTAAATTAAATTTATGATATACATCTTTTGTCAAAGTGGATTTGTGTTAATTTTCACTTACTGCTTCTAATTGTTCAGCTTGTTTTCAAAAAATTCAATGTACCCACTGACACCCTATAGTGAACAAAGTTAAACAGTACAACTGCCAATGCATCAACCTTACGCTAGAATCATTCGTGGGTTTATCTCTATCCTAAATGCTGGAGATAGTTTATCATGAATTTCTTCCCGCATGTACACTCCCAGCAAGTTCTTATTAAAAAGGGGCCTATGGGTCATTCTTCAGTATCAAGTGTCTACTTTCATGTCCCGACACTTTAAGGCACTATAATTCGAAAAAATATAGAATGAAAATAAGATTTTTGAGCAGTGAAATTAACTTCAACACGACTCCTATTGTGTGCAGTGTTAAAAACTCTTTAACATAATGGACAAGATGCTCATTCTTTACAATACTCCCTCAAAACCCCCTCAAAATGCATGTCCCCGTGTATTTCTCAATATGTACCTACTGCCATAATTTGTAAAGTAAACAACTTGAAAAGGTAATTATATCTCCAAAAGCCAAGTAATATAATAATTGTCATTTCCGTCACAAAAGGTGTGACGGATATGACTTTTGCATTCTTTTCACAATCAATATTTCTTTGGGCCCTATTGAAAATAAAGGAACCCAGCATTATTTCCTGTAGAAAACTACTTCACATCACCACTCCAATACAATAGAGACTTAAATAACAGAGAGAGAGATATGTTGCAAGGATGAATGAAGTCCCTGAAAGCCATCAGCCCTGTTTTTGGTACATAATAATTGTCAATTATCAGATTGATCTTCGATCAGGCCAATCAAATATGTTGAACACTTTCAAGTGCTTCAACATGGGGGGGATGCACATATTGTGACGTACGTGAGTAACCACTAGCTTAATTGTCACTTCCTAACATGCTCAAAATTCAAAATGTTTAAATAGGATTATGTGAAAATCTTAGATCTGCGGTTTATGCAACAGGATTGGCACAATTGCGAATCCCACGCTTTGTGAATGCACATCGCCATGATCACAACCTTGGTATAGGCCTACGATTCTTTCCCTGCTAAATACTCACGACCGGACCATGAACGTCTTGCAGTTTTTCAGGTTTTTAAGAAAATCGAGTTGACGACGGACACACTGAAACCACCTCACAAGTACAGATACAACACGTTCCTCGACAACGAATCAGGAGAAAGTTGCATGACCCAACATGGCAACGACATCATAGGGCAAGGGACACACCAACTTTTGCGAGACGGGCATTGTTACATTTTTGTAACACGCAGACACAAACCACCACGTGTGAATATTATCCATCCATTTTGCACCTGTCAGTGTCACAAAACACCACCACCTGTGCGCGCCATCACGTGGGCATACGTCATACCAAGCGCATACCTTGGGATTTTTGTCAATTTTTGTATATATTGGTAACGGTCTTTGTTCTGCATTGAAAACATTGATTGTCAACAGATCTAATGTTAAAGTTGTTATGCTTGCATTAGACTGTTTAATTAGTTGTTAAAATGATTACGTAGACAGTCATGACTCTAAGGCTAAGCTTAATCCGAAATTTCAGAAACGTCACCCTCAAAAAATTTGTTTAGAGGGCGCTGTACCGGCGGCAGATCCAAGACATGCAAGAATCAAGATGACGTCCCTTGTCACCGATGTTCTGCTCGCAAACACGGGTAAAACTCAGCTGTTTTCCAATAATACTAACCTTTCAGAAAAAGGTTCTCTCAATAAAGTTCCAGAGATTATTGTAGGAAAAATAAAAAACTTAGTGCATTTAATTCCTATGTAGGCCGAGTATTTGAAACGCTTTTTGGTTGGTAAGTATTCGATCTTTATCGTTGCATCGGTTGCGTGATACAACGTATGAGAACGGGTGTCGGTCACTAAGCTTCGCCCGGTAATCCTTACTAGTATTATGACCCTGTTCCTACGTAAGGAGGGAAAGACTCACCAAAACAGTTGACTAAATCATGACACTCAAAATTGACATTCTGATATTTCTTGACCCATCTGAACAATTGGCATTGAATGACCAATGACATAGGCTTACTTTAGTCCGAGTAACTTGGACCCAACTTATCGCCTTTTTAAACATTTGGACATGGTCTGGCGATAGTAAGGTCCAAGCTAATACCGCGACCTAGACAACACAGTCCCAAAAACCAACATTTTCCAACAAAAAAACATCAGATTTCACCCGCAAAACGGCCTCCAAATTACTAGATATGCCACCTGAGGTACAAGTAGACATCAATGATTAAGATGGTTGTACTGAAGTTTACTTACGATCCGAAAGAAAAGTGAAATTTCTCATTCAATTCTGAGAGCTCCCCTCGCGATCTTGAACACGTTAAATTTCTGACTCGTGTTAATGTTTGAACGACGCGATTTTTTCTTCATGCCCAGCGTACATTCGATGGTCCCCGTATCCCGAGTGCGATTCCGTTACCGAGCGCGTGCGATGCATCGATTATGATAATTGTCACGTTTGTAAACACAAGTGCATTTCGAACTGTAAAAGGAAATCGGGAACCAGCTTGAACTGGTATCCGCCATAAAAGCTGCGCTAGAGTTCACGACTCCCTATTATCGTTCGAAATGCACATGTGTTTACAAACCTGATCCAGCCTACTCATTATCATAATCGATGCATCGCGTGCGCTCGGTAATGGAATCGCACTCGGGATACGGGGACCATCGAATGTATGCTGGGCATGAAGAAGAAATCGTGTCGTTCAAACATTAACAACACGAGTCGGAAATTTAACGTGTTCAAGATCGCGAGGGGAGCTCTCAGAATTGAACGGGAAATTTCACTTTTCTTCCGGATCGTAAGTAAACTTCAGTACAACCATCTTAATCATCGATGTCTACTTGTACCTCAGGTGGCATATCTAGTATTTTGGAGGCCGTTTGGAGGGTGAAATCTGTATTTTAGTATTAAAAATTAGCATTTTATTAAGAATAAGTACTTTTTTAGTTGTACAGTACATGTAATATAATTTAAAGCATTTAAAATATAATGTTAATGATTACTATAACGTCAAAAATCTTGAACAATTGAAGGGATGATAATTATTCTTTTACGTTAACAACGGGTTACCCCTAGGAAATTGTGATTTATTTACATTTAAGAATATGAATAAAATGCTAATTAGTTTTGCATATGCAAGGTAAAAAACCTTGAAGCAAGTTACCTCCATTTTCGAACAACTTCAGTACGCTTGCCGGGTCCCCTTCCCGCCCTCGCCCCCTAAAAAGCTTCTCTGATATGCACTGCTAAATCTCAATGTTTCTTTTCATAAAAATGACTCTCATTGAATTCCACTTTTTGTTTATTTCTTTGTTCATTAATTTATTCCATTATGTATTAATTTATTTCTCCTTGTGTTTCAAACATTTATTTTTCTTCATCAATGAAAATCCCGCCCGCAAGGTTCTCAAATTGCGATCGCCTTTGCGCAAGTTGTAACGTGCGCACGCAAATTAAAATTGCGCGTCGTAATTTGCGTGCTTCAGGAGTCCCTCGCGCAAGTTTAAACTTGCGTGCGCAAGTTTAAACTTGCGTGCGCAAGTTTAAACTTGCGCGGGAGACTCAAATTGTGCTCGACAACACTACAGTAAATACTCCTAGATAGAACTATGAGGCTCCACGTAGTGGCGCCTCATAGGCAGATTACCCTGCTAAACTGTTTGCTATACAAAACACCAACTACATGTAGGTACAAAAAAGTCCATCCCAACCAAGCTTTTTCCCACAGAACCGCTGCACAGTTTGCCCCTAAACTCCGTACAATACCTCATGACATACTCACGTTATGTGCACCAAACAAACATCGGTGGATTTTGTCGGTTTTTTCAGCAAAAAATGATGAAAAATATGCCCTTTCCGCACTGAGCCAACCTGACACTTGAAACATGCACGTGTACAGAATGATCGCAGTCATTTTCGGTTCGATCGCTAGCGCTCGGAGCGCGCCGTGGCGGGTACCTTCACACACTTGTACGCATTCGCATATTATCATTCCGCTCCTACGTATACCATATCCCCCGCGGCGCGCTCCGAGCGATCAAACCAAAAATTTAGTTCGTCTTCTCACGCATGCGCAATGGTTTTCTCCGCATCGTCGGCTTGCAAACAGCAGTAGCAGACGACGCACTGAATGATTGTCTGGTTTTCAAGTCTTAAAATGTATCCTTCCCAAACGTACTTAAAAGATGATTCAAACCAAAAATTATCACTAGACCAAGTGAACAAAGATATAAATTGTCTCTACAGTGTCTCTCTACAATTGTCTCTACCTTTTCAAATATATAAAAAAAAACCCAATAATTATGGACAAAAAACGTACAAAATGAAAAGGAAAAAACATCGTTCGCCTTTGAGTTTGGTTCACACATTTGGACAATTTGCTGGGTTTACCTTAGATCAGCCGTAGAACCATCAAAAAGGATGATAGATTATTTTCATTTTAAAGGTGATTTGATGTAAGAAGGAAACCTGTAGCTTATAAAAATCGTCATTTTTCGAGTAAACCCATTTTGAAAGCTTCGTGCCCTCTATGATTGTACTTAACTGCATTTCTGGGCCGGGAACCAGTCAGTTGTAAATCGTTTCAGTTAAATGTATACATTTCCAACGCGTCCAAAGATTACAAATGGAGCGCCGCGGCACGTGGCGCGTGGCTAGCCATGTTAACGGGCCAAATTCCAGGGTCTGTGTACAGGTACGTGCACACTAACGTTACATTCAACAACAAAAACGTATAACGTGAGACCTTACTTTTCTCATTGAAACGGTTTCCGACTTAAATGATATTTATACTTTCCGTGGCATTCTTGACCATTTTCAGTGAAGACAAGTTTACAATTACTCGGCAAAACTGCAAAAATTATCCCCTAAACTGTCGCCTGTTTTGAATTTGTGACCCAATACTTTCCTACTACACGACACGGAAAAACAAAAACAATGCAACAAATACTCTCTGTTTTTTAGCGCTAAGGTTTGCAAAAGTGACTTTGATTGCCTTAAATTCCTGTCTACGTGGAAAGACAAATTTATTTAAGTACTTTGAGCGTGATGTTGACCGATACTTCAGTGGCTCAAACTGCCACTGCAGGCATCCATGTTTGCTGATTATCAGTATTTCATATTTTGAGTGCACATGCGCACAAACTAAATGAGCGGCTGAAACATACGTGCCTTATTAACCGTTACAAGTCCACTAGCTTATTGATTGGGTTTTTATATCCTAGAGTTTAAAAGTGCTACAGGCAAAACTTCATTCGAAAGTTGGTCCTGCTATTTGGGTTTTGGTGTTTTTTACTCACCCAATATTTTGTAATTCTTTGCCCAGATCTGTTGGAAAAGGAAGACCTGGGGACGCGCATCGGCAAATTATCAACTCACATTGATGAGATCAAGGGTGAAATCTACCACGCCGTACACGAGAAGTATGCCAACTACAGACCCACCAGGGACTCCACCCAGGAGCTACACAACAAGGTGCAGACACTGTCCACTGAGATGCAGACTCTCAGCAATAAGATCAAGGTATGTCATAGTCTTAAGGCCCTAGTAACACATTCACGGTTGGACCTACGAATATCCACCGTTTACCAAGAATCAATTGATCACAATGAACCGTCAAGACTCATGGAGAAATTGACTTTCTAAGAATGCACTAGGGTTTCAGGACGGATAGCCACAACTTTCGGAGGTTTCTCTAGGAATACACCACGGTTTCTTGAACGGATTGTTTACGAATATTGACAGTATTACCAAGAATAATGATGTTAATGCCACAGTTGTCTGCGATTGGGCCACGGATGACCAAGGTTCTCCTACAAATAAAGCATAGTCATATTCGTAGCACAACCTTAGCAGAATTCAAGCATATCTGGGCATAACCGTAGGACATTTGTAGTGAATTCGTAGAGAATAGATTTCCACCACGAATGAGCTACAAATCTCCAAGAGTATGTACGAATAGCTACAAATAACACTACGAATTAGTACGGTTGTTCTATGGATGTCCCCGGGTTTCACTGCGCATTGATTTTCATGACGATTCACCACGGACGTTTGGAACAGTTTAAAAGTTCCGTAGCGCCTCCACGAATACCAAAGGAAGATGACGGATAACCACGCAGATATTTAGGATGAATACAGTACTCCCACGGTTATCACAATTCTCAACTGTGGATAGCTGTAGCTCCAAACAGTGAATGTATGACTGAGGCTTAAGGGCTAGACATTGTTATGGTTTGATATGCGATAACCTGCTGCAGTGATAAACCCACACCCACTGACCAACCAATATCATCCACGAACCCGTCGGAACAACGTATAGGCCAATTCCTACTGGTTGTGTAATGTGCGCGCACCTTTGGCCTAATATATGCAGCGCGCATTCAAAAACAATTCACAGTAGTTCCCAAGGAAACTTTCAAATTTCTTCAAGTAACGTAAAAGATGTAGCAAGACGTTTGTGCAACTTCACTGGTCAGCACTTTTGTTGTGTGTAGTTTGTGTGGGACTGAAAATGAACAGTAATTGCCTGCGGAAGTAGCGCATGCGCACTTCCCCCACTTTTTTTTTGGGGGGGGGGAGAGATTTTATGAGTTGGCCTAGACGTTCCGATGGTGGGGGATATTGGTTGGTTTTGATAGCCACCTCTTGCGACGGCGGGTCATCGCTGTAGCAGGTAATTGCGTATCCGACCATAACATCGTCTAGCCCCTAGACTAGGTATGTGAGGCTGTGTCTGATGAGACAGGCATTGTTGTCTGTGGCAATGGCTTTTGACTTAATGCACTATCAGGGTTCGACCTTAGCGGTGGTCCGCTGGCCAAACGCCAGTTGAATTGCCGGCGGACCAGCTGAAACACCTTGCCAAGTGGTCCGGCTGGCCAGCTGAAAAAATCTGTGTCAAAAAAATGCTTGTTTTATTTATTTGGTTTCTTACTTATATGTACATTCGCTATTTTTTCAAAAGAAACCTCCGTTATTTTTACAAATTCGCTTCGCGATATGACTACTTCGCAATTCGATGTCATGGTGACTATAATCATGTGCGTAATCCGGTAACCCGTAATCCAGCCCAATGCGGCGATGACTGGTTCCCGCCGCGCCAATTTAGAAGACATCATGATGAAAATGCGGTAACTAGTCTGTGCACGGCTATGCGATCGACAGCGCTAGAGCATTGCTGCTATGCATCGTGCAGGCGCCAGGCACGTGCTCTGTCAACTGGTCGGATTCGACATCGTAAAAATGCCAAGAAAACACCAATGGAGAAAGAACATTTTTGCAAGTTAATTTCATACAGAATTGATCTAGCTTGTCTGTGTATTTTCTGTGTTCAAGAGTTCATTTTGAGAACGAACTACTCGTATTTGGAGTGATACATGCCGTGTGTTTCCCAAAATTTTTGACCGTGAAAACGGGTCTGTCGGCCCATGGTGGGCCGCTTGCCACACACGCACGCATCACACACCTCAGAGTTTTGGCCAGCTCCCCACGTCTTGACTAGCGTTGTGCATATGGTGCGAACAACCTGAATTTTCCATTAATTTTTGGGTAATTCTTATTTTTAGGACCCCTTTCCTATATAAGGTTAAAAGACTCACCAAAACAGCTGACTAAATGACACTCAAAAGTGACATTCTGGTATTTCTTGGCACATTTGAACAGTTGGCAATGACACCTCTTGAATATCAGCAGGTTTGATTTGTAGAAAGAGGGCAGGGTTTTGATTTATGAGGGGACGATGACAAACAGAAAATAGATTTAAAAGCAAGATGGCAAACTGCCAAAAAAGGTAGGAAATTCACTTTTTCTTTGAAAGTGCTTTCAAAATTATAACTAACATGAGTTTGTCTGAAGAAAAAAGACTTCTTTAGCCTGCAAATGTCACTTTGGTACTGGACAGTCATCTGCAAAAGTCAGTTTTGAACAGAACTCGTACAAAATAGAGGTGTCCTAAATGTAAGGATTACCATTTTTTTGAAATTATCGAACGTAAAATATATTGACAATAATTACAGGTAGGTTTTATTCACTTTTTGTCGCTATTTCGTGTATAGCTTTCGTAGTGCAATGAAAATAGTTCAGGCTAATACTTCGCATATAAAAAATTGAATACCCATTCACTCTGCATAAAAAAAATTGGCAAAAAAAGAATTTCCGACCGACCGACCCTATTTTTGAAAGGCATGTAATTGGAAGCAGAACTATTTTTTTTGGCCTAATTAAGGTAGGTTTTATTCACTTTTTGTGGCCATCATTTTGTGTATAGCTTTCGTAGTCAAGGGCGGATCCAGGGGGGATGCCCCCCCCCAAAAAAAAAACCGAAACCAATTTTTTTTTTTTTTTTAATGTGACATCGCAATAAAGGCAGGCAATGAGTACACCACCATCTTTTCCTCAAAAAAAAAACATTGGTTAAAATGGTCAGAAATTGCCTCAGATCGCACCACAGAGCATCTAGAATCCAAAATGTTTTTGGGGCCCTTAAGCGGGCCCCGAACCCCACGCCGTAATTTTTTGACCCACTTTTTTTGGGGACCACAATTTTTTTTGGCCCCCCCAAAAAATGTGTTCTGGATCCGCCCTTAAGTAAGATTTGAGGCTTTGCATGGTGAAGATACTAAATAATGAAAGGTTTGCGGAAACACCATGTGCGAATAATTTCTCAACTAAGAGAATGGTTCTGAAAGAACCAGAGGTATAGTTTAGGCACTCTCCTGAAGACGGTCAGAGCATACTGACCGGAACGTCGAGTTTATACCTCTGGTTCTTTCAGAACCATTCTCTTAGTTGAGAAATTATTCGCACATGGTGTTTCCGCAAACCTTTCATTATTTGGATCCGCCCTTGTTCGTAGTACAATGAAAATTAATCAGGCTAAAACTTTGCCTACTGAGGCCTAATTGAATACCCCTTTCAAGCTGCATAAAAAAAATTGGCCAAAAAACCCCCCCAAAAATCAGACCTACCAACCCTATTTTTAAAAGGCATGTAATCTGAGGCAGAACTTTATATTTTTTTGCAGCCTCAGATCATGGAGGAAGAAAATAGACCTCTATTGCTCAGGTGACATGGGTGTTGACTATAGTCTAGTTTAATAAGACTTATGTGAAACTGATTAACTGGTGGGTACACGCTGTATAAGACGGACCAGTCAAAAACCTGGCGGACCAGTCAAAATTCTGGCCAACTGGTCAGGCTGGCCAGTCAAAAAAAAAGTTAAGGGCAACCCCTGTGAAAGATAGTAAGGGGACTAAACTCCCTGTGAAATTATCCTTTCTGGCAAGCTCTCAATTCGAAGAAATCAACGAAACTCATTTCCAATGGTGCGTCTTAAGAAGCATCATAGGAAAATTTAAATTAGTAGTTCGTTTTGTTATTCAGCGCAGTGCGCACAAGCATTGGAACGACGCACAGGCGCGCGCGGTTGCTATAATTTGTCGGATCAGTGCGCGACATCGCGTAAAGCTGCAATTCAAAACAATTCGAAACATGATTTAGCAACTTTTGATTTGAAATTGAGATCCTAGAATGCTGTTTTTCTCGGAATATAAAGCTGAAGCTGAGCTGAAACTTCATCAAGTAAGTTGTTCAGTATCCTTCATTAGATTTTGAACACATTTATTGCTTCAAACGAACAAAATGCACTAATTACAAATGATGGACTATAGCTTTAAAGGACAGGCCTTCAAAGTGATTCTGTTGAACCTTTTTAATGTTTAAACTGAGAGTTTATTGCTGGAGATGTTTGAAGACAATTGTGACAACGATTCTTGAAATCACATTTTTTTTGAGGAGACAGGTTTTTAGGGTCATTGTGTTTAAATGGTGATATTTTCTGAATGGATTGACCACTTTACTTATCCATTTTTTCATCTTAAAGTACCTTAAGATGTTTGCTTTCCCTTCATTATTTTTGATGCTACATATTTTTTAAATATGAAATATAATTTTTGGGATTTTGGTTCCATTTTTTTTTAACTCACCCTGTGTCAATCTTGAAGTATCGTGTATAACCACACACCTGAGACTACCGGCTTTTCTCAATTTGTTTTTTTCATTTCCCGGACGAGCCCCCATTTGTCACATTCCCTGGTTTGCTCCTCCCCAAGAAATATAACCCTCAGTAGTCTGGTACACCGTCACACAAAATAAATTGTCGAGTGAATTGACAATTTATTTTGTGTGACGGGTGTACCAGACTTCTGAGGGTCATATTTCTTGGGGAGGGGCAAACCAGGGAATGTGACACTGAAAGTTGGTTGCAATCTGTTCTGGGCCTGCACATTACTGATGACACAGGAAGTATTGACAATTCCCTACTTTAAAGTAAAATACTTTTCTATTCTTGATAATATACTGTGAATGTTTCTCGTTACCAGTAAGGTGTTTCACGGTAATATGCGCCAATCACAAGATGGAATTTTTGCAGATGAAAATCAAATTAGGTTTCACCCTTCTCCGATGTAAATACACACTGTTTACTCAGTGTGTTAAGGGCCTGGCACATTATATGCGATCTCAAAGGAGACCTTACGGCGACCAAAAATATTTCATAAATGTAACAATCGCAGCGAGGACGCAAGAAAATGACAACTTTCTGTATCAAAGAAGCTCAAGCTACGCTCATACTGTGCTCTCCCCACGCTTACGATGCGCTCAACTCGCTCTCTATGCGCCCCTGTCAAGCTCAATTACTCTATCTAGTCGCTGCCGCTGCGCTGTCACTGCGCTCACACTACGCTCTGCTTGCTGTTGATACGTCCTTGTAGCTCACGTCGCGCTCTCTATTCGACCAAAATACGCTCATGGGACGTCACTTACGCTGTATAAATACCACGACAAAATGGTCAATACACAGTCCAGTTTCAAAATTATTCTACAAGTTCAACGCAGTCGAGTTACCTTCTCATGGAGACTACATCAACTGTCTTGCGCCTAGGCTGCCTCAATGCCCCTTAAATGTCGCACGATTCACGCTCGCACAGCCCCTCGAGTTGCGTCATTGTGGCGCCTTGGCCAGAGCGCCGAGGTGTTGTGATTGTTTTGTGCATGTTCAAAGACCTTGTTGCTCATCGGAGACCATTAAGACCCTCCGGCGCCCATCTGGCAACCTATGTAGTTGTTGCTGCGATCTAGTAGTTGTTTTTGTACCCCAGCTATTTTTCAAGGACGCAGTAAAAGTGCACATAAGATCGCAGACAGTGTGACAGGGGCTTTACCTCCCGAGAGAAAGTTGCCTCATACACGAATATCAATGCGTTGTGTACGGCGTGTGCAAGCACTGAGAAAAAGGAACATTGTTCTTGACAGCTTTCCAGTGACTGCAGACTCGCTGTGTGTTGTGCATGCCCTTGGCTTGGTGGCTTGCTGCTGCTTGGCCTGGCAGCATGGTGCTCTTGGTCATTTTCTGCCTGTGGAATCACATGAAGCTCAATCTGCTTCCCTGGCTGCAATGGTCGGCTGGGATTCCGTCTTGGGAAGCAACAACAGCACATGTCTTACCACTCAACCACCGAGCTAACGGGATCGGGTGGCCGGTTCGAACGGAAAATTCCATCTTATAATAGTTTATGCGGTACCCGCCGCTATGTACATCAGATTCGAACCGGCCAGCCGATCCCGTTAGCTCGGTGGTTGAGTGGTAAGACATCTGCACTAGAAAGCAGGAGGTCGTGGGTTCGAGTCCCACCCGAGTGATTTTTTCCAACTTTCACTCGGGAGGTAATACACTGAGTATACAGTTTTTAAAAACGTTGGTGCAGGGCAAAACCTAATTTGATTTATATCACCCCGACGCAAAAATTCCATCTTATAACGACAGCACAGTTTGAGGAATGAGAAAGCCTTGACGACAGCTGCACAATAGTCAGCGTTAGTCAGCACTGTAGACGAGGGAATTAATTGAGCTATTGATAAGTCTGAAGATTTTCTGCAAGTTCCAGATATTCAATAGCTTGGGCAGGCAAAGTATAAGTTGTTCCCAGAGTATAAATAATTGCAGCTGAAACGTTCAGTGAGTTCAGAATGAAACAAAATGGCAGTATTGATGATAACCATACAGAGGACCTTGCCTGCTTGCTGGGACAATTTGGCAACTGTGCTGATTGCTTGCACACTTTAACTACTACCAAGATGTACAAAGCAAGAGTGGCTACTAAACAGGTAGTGTTGGTAACGAAATTAATCCAAAACATGATGTCTTTAAAGACAGTCTCTGGCAAGAATATCGGAATCACACCAACAATAATTGTTGGCACCCAGACTCCTGCTGATATCTTTGCTGCTCGAGATTTAGAGGCTTTTTCCTTGTACTTGAATCCCAGGACATACCGTTATTTTGTTTTACCGTTTTGGATTTCCTCAAAAACAAAAACCGTGAACGAACTATTGACCGTTTTGTCATTTTACAGTTTTGTAAAACGGTCAAACGGTATTAAGTCACACACAAAAAATACTTTTTGTTGTTGTTTTTTATTGTAGAAAGCGCTTTATGTTTAGAGTGTTGTTTTACAAAATCATGACAATGACAAAACGGTCAATAGTCTTGCCGACCATTTTTTTGATTTAGGTTCGGCAATTAAGCAATGCACCTAGGAATGTTAATGCGTCCTAGGGATCGAGTCATTGCCTGGGCCCTCCTTACATTTTCGTTCTCACGACAGAATTTGCGAATTAGCTATTGAAGAGCCGCGTCGACTTAAAACTCCAATTTCCTTCAAAATATCTGCAACTTCATCAAACGTCTTACCATCCTGTATCCATTGTGAAAAGTAATGCCCTCCCTTGCAGTTTTCCAGCGCCATTTTTGCTTGCAACTATTTAAGCCCCACCAACTGAATGGCATGAGAAGGGGGTCAGGGTCCGCGCCAGGAATCACACCACGCATTAATTATGCCGAGCCAACACTCATGTAAAGCAGGGTCCCCCTCCACCCCCTTGCCCACCTTCACAAAATGCACCACGGACTGTTAACTATGACACTACAATAAAAAAAACAGTGTGTATTCAATACTGACCGTTTTGCTGTTTTTCTAAGTTATTTGTGTAAAACTGTAAAACAAAAATAATCGATTGTGATAAAGTTCTCAAGGTGCTTTTCAACTTCATCATTCTCCATATCCAACATTTTATTCAGATGTAACAGCGAATATAAGACCTGGAGCAATGTGTAGTTGAAACAAAAAGCTTCTGCATTTTTTCCCCTTAGTGTTTTTTTATCTCTAAGATTTGTAAGGATTAGTTCTTTGTTCCTTGTTTTGAATGCATACTAAACCGAAGTAGACAATAGAGTTTCACAGTTGACTTTGGCACAGATGTGCTTCAGAATAACTTTTTATTTTCTCTTCAAGACTTTTTTTACATGTACATTGTGTAATCCGTCGTAAAGGTTTTGCTCATATCTAGGTTACTTTAATAAGAAAAAGTGAAATGGCACTCTGCACTTTTTACAGAGTTTTACAGCTTATAAAAGATCACTGACATAACGTAACCCTTGCATTATCTATAACTGAATAAAATTAGATGCAGATCAAAAAATGACAAAATCTTTCAGGTCGTAATTTTGCTTACAACATATTTATTTATATCTCACATATAGAAACTTGACACAAGCTTTAGATTTGGTGTTTGGATAATCAAGAAAGACATTTAAAATACAGATACAAATAGTCACTGCATCAACAAAGATTTGAAACCATGGAATTCCTACACTCTCTTGCTTGAAATTGAAAGTGTACTTAGACTTCTGCTATCAAATATTATACTAAGAAATTACCCATGAACTTTTCTTTTTGTTCTTGGCCCAAACTGATGACCAGCTTTGCCAACAGATTGGCTCCCGTCCGTACATTATTGATACTGATTGTGGGGGGGGGGGGAACCAGCCTATCCAGCAAGAACAGAAATAATGTTTGGCAGCCAATAATTTGGAATTGTAAAGTAATAATTCAATAACTGAACGTGAGCTTTTTTGTGTTTGGTGTTTCATTCAAAAGTGAATAACTTTTGTATTGCTTGAAAAATAGCAGATTGGTAAAGAAATCTGTTTTTCGTGATGAAACTCGAAAATAGCACGGAACTTAAAGTAAATTCAGTACCTCATCTGGCATTTGTTAAGCAAAACTGTTATGTGGACAGTTTTCCTTGTTTTTTTCCTAGAAGGTACAGCATTAACCCTAACCCCCCTAGGCCCAATCACCATTCATCTTCAATCCTTCAAAATCCTCATGTGCTTCAATCACCATTCATCCTCAATCCTCCAGAATCCTCATTTGATTCAATCACCATTCATCCTCAATCCTCTAGAATCCTCCAAAACCGCCAGGAGGATTTTGGAGGAGTGAGGTGGGTTAGGGTTAAAGGTTGCATGTCTGTGTAGAGTGTGTGTGCGATTCACAGTTTCAGATGATTCTTATTTTATCTGATAAACTGTCTAAGTTGAACACATTACCCTCATTGTTTCAAGCTTAATCTTTAATTTGCTCATGCACTACCAGAACTATGAACTGTAGTTAGGAGAATGGTTGTATGTAGAAAGATGACAAGTTCCACACACAATCCATTACCCTTTGGAGATACGGTGGACACAATACGAGGGCGCTATTTGGTTTGGGTCTAGTCTTTTGCATAAGTTACCCCAATATACCCAAATCAAATAACACCCTTGTATTGTGTCTGCCATATCGAAAAAGGCTTAGAGCAGTTGAGCTATTCACTTTTTCCAAAATTTGTTAAGACTCTGAAATACTGAACGTGCTTTTCACATCTTTTCCCAATCTGCAGGTTAAACAACACGGTGACTCCACTGTGGAACCAGCCGTATGAGGACCAGCTATCCACCAAACAGACCAACACCAGGGAGTTTCTGAGGAATTTATCCAAGATGCTGCAACGGAACATTGGGGAGATGTCTCCCTGTCTGAAGCAACAAAGGTGAGCTACCTGCCAAAGACACGGGATGGTTGTGGGCCAGAATGGAAATGTGATCTTCGTTGACAAAAAACTGTTTCCAGACACAGTTTTCTGGCAAATGGACTTACATGTACAGCTGCCCTGAAATTTCATTAAAAGTCCAGAAAATGATGCCTCATTTTTCTTGAGAATCAATTAAAACTCAGCAAACTTTGGGCCAACTTCTGAAATAAACTTCCTTTCCACACACAAAAGTCCCAAAGATTAAAGGGGGGGGGAAGTTGGTAAAAAAAATGTTTACAAACAAAAAGCCGAAAAATGAACACAAAACCAAAACTTCACAATTCATAAGCTGCTCGAATGAGACTCGCACCAACAATCTCCTGCTTCCTAGTGCAGATGTCTCAACTACTTCACCATCAGGCTTGCTGGGGTTGGCTGGCTGGTTCCAATCTGATATAGCAGGTGCCACAATCAATGGGTTGAATTAATTGTTTACGTAGGGGAGTTGTGAATGTGAATACCTGGTTTTGACCTTCACCAATGTAAATTTGAATGCACTGTATATTCAGTGCTGTCTGAGAGCTTACGAGCAAAGATTCTGCAAGCTTGCTTGGGTGGGATATGAACCCATGACCTCCTGCTTACTAGTGCAGACATCTTAACCACTCAATAACAGAGCTTGCAAAGGTAGTGGGCCAGTTTGAATCTTGTGCATATATATAGCTTTGGTTACCACAAGAAATTCACAAGCCTGTTGAAGTGGGATTCGAACCCACACCCTCATGTTTAATAGCACACTCTTCATTTGATTGACAGGAAGAACCACAGTGGGATGGAATGTGAGTTGGAGCCAATTAAGCCATCGGTGAGTAAGCTAGGTGACAAATATTTGTTGATAAAAATATAGATTTTATTTAAATTTATTTGTAGTATTGTGAATGATTTTGTGAATTATAATCTCAATGATAGTTCACATTGGAACATAGTGTTAGGTTAGCTTGACTGGTGTAATCTTTGAACTCGGGTAGATAGATAGAGTCACCTTACTTGTACTAAATTTATATTTTAACCTGGACTTCTTGTTAGATAAACTATACAGCATGTGAATCTTTTGTGGGGTAAATATTCCTGACATTGGAGATGTCTGATTTGTTCCTTTCATTTTCGTTGTTTGTTTGCACACTCACAGCCAGTATTAGAGAGCTATCGCAACAAGTGTGAGTTTACTATCGGCAAGAGTGTCGATGGCATCGGTGAGTGAAACTGGCATTTATTTTTAGTTATCCAACCTCTTCATTTTTATGCCCCGCGGCGAAGCCGAAGGGGCATAGTGTTTCCGCCTTGTCCTTCCGTGGGTGGGTGGGTGTGTGGGTGTGTGTATGGGTGGGTGGGTGTGAGCTTGTCTTACATACGCAGTGTGGACTTCCGAACAAAAGACGTCCACATAATGTAGGTAGCAGCGACGAAGTGTGGACTTGCCCACGTCCACACAGTGTTTCCCCATTTCTGGAAAACAGGTTTAGAGGCATTTTTGGGTTAGGTTTATCTGTAGCAGAATGAAGAGAAACACTAAAGGGAATCATTGAAAAAAAATTGGGTTGTAAGAGTTTTCACAGTTTGAGAAAAATGAGTTTTTCCACTGGTGTTCCTTAACTACACGAAGAGAAAGGAAAGTCCACACTAGGTATGTGAAACAAGTCTGAGTTTGTCTTACATACGCAGTGTGGACTTCCGAACAAAAGACGTCCACATAATGTAGGTAGCACCGACGTTGTGTGGACTTACCCCACGTCCACACAGTGTTTCCCCATTTCTGGAAAACAGGTTTAGAGGCATTTTTGGGTTAGGTTTATATGTAGCAGAATGAAGAGAAACACTAAAGGGAATCATAGAAAAAAAATTGGGTTGAAAGAGTTTTCACAGTTTGAGAAAAATGAGTTTTTTCACTGGTTTTTCTTAACTACACGAAAGCAATGGAAAGTCCACACTAGTCATGTGAAACAAGTATGCGTGTGTGTGGGTGTGTGCGTGGGTGGGTGTGTGTGTCCGGACAAATCTTGTCAGCGCGATAACTTGAGAAATACTTAACATATGAACTTCAAATTTGGTTTGTGGATTGTCCTTGGTAATCCTAAGAAGCCTTTTGCATTTTGGGCCCAAGGGTCAAGGTCACAGTGGCTGAAACAATAGAAATTTTGTCAGCGCGATAACTTGAGAAATACTTAATATATGAACTTCAAATTTGGTTTGTGGATTGTCCTTGGTAATCCTAAGAAGCCTTTTGCATTTTGGGCCGAAAGGTCAAGGGTCAAGGTCACAGTGGCTAAAACAATAGAAATTTTGTCAGCGCGATAACTTGAGATATACTTTACATATGAACTTCAAATTTGGTTTGTGGATTGTCCTTGGCAATCCTAAGAAGCCTTTTGCATTTGGGGCCAAAAGGTCAAGGGTCAAGGTCACAGTGGCAAAAACAAAAGAAATTTTGTCAGCGTGATAACTTGAGATATACTTTACATATGAACTTCAAATTTGGTTTGTGGATTGTCCTTGGCAATCCTAAGAAGCCTTTTGCATTTGGGGCCAAAAGGTCAAGGGTCAAGGTCACAGTGGCAAAAACAAAAGAAATTTTGTCAGCGTGATAACTTGAGATATACTTTACATATGAACTTCAAATTTGGTTTGTGGATTGTCCTTGGCAATCCTAAGGAGCCTATCCTATTGGGGGTCGAAAGGTCAAGGGTCAAGGTCACAGTGGCTGAAACAATAGAAATCTTGTATTTATTCTGAGATCATAGGGATTAGGGATTAATTCATATAAAACCTACAGAAGACACTAATGCTGTCAATGAACGTTCCATTTGACCAAGGTACATATATAAGTTGATGTTAGAGTGGTGTTATGTCATGGAAACAGTCACGGTTGCGGGGCATTTGTGTTTGTAAACACACCTGACTTGTTTTGTATGTATCCCCTCCGTTCACAAGCACCCCCTCGCCTGGATATCAAGTGTGCACACATGTACATAATGTGCCTGTTATGAAAACCGCAACAGAAAGTTTCGGGAATTTTTTTTCTCAGTTATTCCCCAAATTTCTTGTCAGGTCTTCATGAAACTTGGCCTGGGTAAATTGTGCAAAAGTTTCAGTTTCATGTCTTCTTATTTTCATTGACAGATAACACTGTTGGTTTCCGGCTTGGCGCTTACAAAGGTAAGTATTTTCTCTGAAGTTTCCTTTTTGCAAAAGACGTAGATCAGCTTTTATGTTTGATTGGATCGGCTGTCGAGGGGCGTGGCCTATTGGTAGCTAATGCTGATCAATTCCAACCAATCAGAATGCAACACACAGAAAGATTGACAGGTGTACATATTGTGCATTGTCTAATATGTCTGTCAGGAATTAATTATTGAAAAGAAAGAAACAAGCCACAAAAGACTTAAACCCTTGTCATCCCCTTTGCTGACCAATATGTTGGCTTACTTTTGTGGCATGAATATTGAGGGTATATGTTTGTACTTTCAACGTTGACCAGCAAGCTCTTTTACTCAATAGGGATTTTTTAACAATTACTTTTGTACAAGCAAGAATTAGATTTTAAATAAAAAAATCAGGAAAATCACTGTTTGTTTAAATGTTGCTAGTGTACACTTTTATTTATTTTATCACTGATCTTGCTTTTACACGCAAATTTGTTTGTCCTATAAGAAGTGTGTGACTTTTAGAAACATGGTTTGCCCTGCAATTTTTTTCCCCAAATATTACTAGGTATCAGAAAGACGTAAGAGCTCAAACACTGATTTGGTGATAGTACATTTCTGTATTATTTGTGTTTAGAGTGTTAAATTACACAAGGAAATAGCAGCTTTAATGAACATATAAAAAGCAGCAATTCCTCGGATACTGTGCAAATTAAGATACATCTTGTATGATGCTAACTTTACAACGACATTCATATTTTACAGCATTGATTTTTCAATTACCCAAATTTGAAGTACCCTTGAGTCCATCTAAAAGAAATGTTAGAATATTGCTTTGCATTTAAACATCATACAGACATGGAGCTCATAATGTAATACAACAGACTAGTGGTGCTACACAGATTATGTACAATTATAGAGCATGCAAGTCTCGCCAGTTCACATTCACTTTTCATGTGAACATCTTGGTACCAAACACTGACTAGTCTAGCCACAGACTCCCGTGTTTGAATTCACCCAATTCACCCAATGAACGGAAGTGGAAGTCCACATTTTTTCAATTTACTAAAGTAATCAACTTGCAATATTTTTTGAATGTGTTGTAAATTGGAATGATTTTTTTCTTGTTCAGAACCCATTCTTTGCCCTTGACTGGATATACCTAGTTAAATCACCTAGGTTTTTGAGGTCAACTTGCACGCTCTATTGACAGAAGTGGGGAACACATTGCTGACTTTAACTATCAACTACATTTTTTTCCCAGCTAGTAGCTGTGTAGACACCTTTAATACACCAGACTTAAATTCCCATACTGTACATCTAAAGCCTACAATGGTCTCATATATTATACATGTATATCTGTGCTCTGCAGCAAAAAAAGTCTATACAATGCATTTCTCCTTGCTAAAGGGTTTTTCAAGAAACTTCGAACAAAAAACAGCACTTTGTTTGGTCTTCAAATAAAATTATCCACATTGTGCAACATGTATACATACAAAGATTGGTATACATTTGGAATCAGATGCTCCTTATGCATAAATTGCAACTTTGTTGATCTGTTACTTAGGCTGTGTCTGAAACGCGCTTCTAGAGCTATGGCTACGGCTATTGTCAGATTGTTCCCATGTATTTGTTTAGGGTGAAGACCTTGACAATATAGCTCTAGCCATATTAACTTTTTTAATTTGTTCATTTGTGCATCAGGTCTTGACCCACAAGATAACCATTCCACCAGCACCTCTGACGTACCAGTGACTGGCGCTGCCATAACGGATCCTTATCACTATCTGACACAACAGCACTTCACCTCAGAGATCTTCAAGATTGAGATCCAAAACCTCCCAAGACACTTTGGATTTGCGGTGAGTTTGCTCCCTTAACATTGAACCCTCAATAACAATAACCATACAGTTTGTGCCTTCTTAGGAGTATGTATGTATTGTGCTCCATGCTTGGGATTTGTCAAGGTCTGTTAATAACAGAATCAAAAGGCTGTAAAATGAATTTCACTAAAACATGAAATATCCCAGCCCTGTGTTTGTATGAAAGTAATGACCACATTTTACGCACACTTTTTTGCAATGCCCGTGCACATGTCCACAATTGTTTCTAATGTTGCTGTGATGTCGATTTAGGTATTTTACACTTCACAGCTTTGGGATTTTCTGTATAATTTATGAACCTAAAATTAATTGCATTGTACATGTGTAAAAGTTTGTACAGTATTGGCTGTTTGCTATGTGCTAATGAATGCAACAGTCACATCAAACTTGATCAAAACACTTTTGTTAACATTCCTTTCCCCTCAAACAGCAGTGACACTGAAGTTCCAGCTCATGACAGCATGAACGCTGTATTGCTCATGAATATGGAACTTGATAAAAAATATTTAAAAAACCTGGAGCATCCAAAGACTTGGAATATAGTTCCTAAAATTAAAACATCAAAATCTGTTTCAAAGGCACTTAAAAAAAAACTTTATTTACAGTGAAAAGATTTCAGGAATTCCATATGTTAATACCAATACATGTCCATTGTCACACTGAAAAAAGTAACAAACAAGCTTATTAAAAGGAAGGGTAGATCATTTGTCATTTGTGCATTTTTTTTCGTTTGAAGCTACAAAAGTGCTCAAAATCTAAAAACGGGTGCTTAACAACTAACACGATGAAGTTTTAGCTCTGTGAATGCAGTATATTTCAAACACATACTCTGGGATCTCAGGTTCAATTCAAAAGTTGCTGAGTCATGTTTTATATTGCGTCCGAATTCAGCCCCAGGGACACATTCTCATTCAGTCAATTGCAGCTACGCGATGTCATGCACTGAACTGACGAATAATAGCAACCTAGTGTGCGTGTGCGTCGTGTCGACGCTTGCGCGCACATATTCATGGATTCACCGAATTTACAAACCAACTACATGAACTAACATGATGCATCGTTGGAAATGGCTTTCTTTCATTGTTTCCTTCAAAATGACAGCATGCCAAAAAGAATGATTTCACAGGGAGTTTATTGCCAATAAAACCAAAAGCCTTTTAACAATAATTTTGTCAGTTACTTTTGGATAGCTACAAATGATCTACTCTACGTTTAAACACGAACAAAAGTTTGATTCAAATAATTAAACTATTTGGGATTTGTTAATTTCTGAACCTTTTACATACATACATTGCATGAATACCAGCTGTTCCCTTTACTGGTAGTTGGTTGCAATCTGCTCTGGGCGGGCCTGCACATTACTGATGTCATGGTGCGTACATGTATTGGCAATTCGCTGAAGTAAAACACATTTCAACTCCAGCATATTGTGTTGTTAACGTTTCTCGATGTCAAATCTACTTAATTGGCATTCCAATGAAGAAGATGTATGAAACGGCCTTAAATCTACTCTACACTTTGAACACAGCAAGTTCAAAAGCAGCACTCACTCTACACACTGCTGCCCTTAAAGACAGCTTGCACTTATCAGGTACCAGTGAACATTGTTCTTGACAACTTTCCAAAGATTAAATCCCTTCTGGTTCTGGATGTGCATACTGCTGCCCTTGTGCTGATGGCTCGGTGCCAGTCAGCCCAGGACATTGTTCCTGAGTACTTGCAAGTAACTATGGCTCTCTGCTGGTTCTGGATGTTCACACTGTTCCCCTTGCATGGATAGCTTGCAGTCAGTCAGACTAGAGCATTGTTTATACTGATGAGAACTTGCAAGCGATGGGGTCCCTGCTGGTTCTGCATGTACCTCAACATGCACTTGAACATGTTGCTGACTGTACATGGATGCCTTGCTGCTGCTTTGCCTGGAACATTGTTCTCGACAGCTGTCCAGTGACTGCTGACTCGCTGTGTGTTGTGCATGCCCTTGGCTTGGTGGCTTGCTGCTGCTTGGCCTGGCAGCATGGTGCTCTTGGTCATTTTCTGCCTGTGGAATCACACAAAGCTCAATCTGCTTCCCTGGCTGCGATGGTCGGCTGGGATTCTGTCTTGGGCAACAACGACAGCACAGTTTGAGGAATGAGAAAGCCTTGACTACAGCTTTACGAAAGTCAGCGTTTGTGACACTGTAGACTAGGGAATTGATTGAGCTATTGATTAGTAGCAAAATTCCAATGCATATAGAAAGAAAATGTATTGTCTCTCCAAGTTCCAGATTGGCAACAATCTGAGCAGTTGAAGTATACTTTGATGCCACTACAAGTCCATGAATGGTCATAATTGCAGCTGCAGTGTACAGTGAGTTCAGAATGAAGAAAACAGCAGTGTTGATGATAACCATGCAGAGGACCTTGCCTGCTCGCTTGGGACGGTTCGGCAACAGGGCTGATTGCTTGCGTACTTTCAATACTACATAGATGTACAAAGCAAGAGTTGCTATCAAAGAGACAATGTTGATAATGGAAAGAATCCCAAAGTAGACTTTATTGGAGACAGCTTCTGTTAATGGTACGAAAATCAGAATCACACCAACAATAATTGTTGGCACCCAGAGTCCTGCTGATATCTTTGCTGCTCGAGATTTAGAGGCCTTTTCTTTGAACGTTATAGGATTGCGCACTGCAGAGAATCTCTCAGCTGCTATGGTAACCACAAAGAAATTAGAGGTAGCAAGGAACGTGCTTTGGAAACTATATATTGCCTTTTGGCCCAATAAGTTGTACTCTATAGGTGGTAACACTGCAAATATGAAGTAAGTTATAAGGAAGAGGGAGTCAGCCACAGCCAGATTGGATAAGTAGATGTTGATGATTGTACGCATGGACTTCACTCGAATGACTGTGAAGAGAAAGACAAAGTTTAAGCAGAGGCCGATTGGTGCAATGATTTCAGCACTTAACCATGTTATTTGATAACCTCTTTCTTCACTCATGTAATAGTTCTCAAGATGCTTTTCAATTTCAGTATTCCACCCAGTTGATGGAGTGGAGCTGTTTTGGTAGCCATCACCCATAGTTCATGCACAATGTAGCATAGATTTTCGTGAGCCACATGTTGTTCAGATGCAGCAAAGAATGTTCTTCTCTATTTCAAGATCACTCCAGATTTGTACTTACAGGGATTGTAAGACAAAGAGCAAAGTGTAATTGAAACAGAAAGTTTCTTGTTCTTTTCCTTCTTTTTCCCCCAACATTTCTGTCCGATTTTAATGCATGTGACTATCTCGTGGTATCAGTTCTTGTAACCAAAGCAGATGCATGTGAGTCAGTTTCACTACTTGCACTGACATGAAATCTGAGCATTGAATTTGTTTCAGTTTTAATGATTGTCTCCAGATTAAACATGCATATTGTGTACATGTAATTGTTTTTTTTTATGCAAGTCGTCCCTTCACAAGGCATAAATGCCACCCAATGTGAGGGCTACCACACAAGAAGAAAAGACAGAAAAAAAAGAGGATGATAGAAAATGAAGACAATTAAGATTAGTGTGTATGAGAGATGCATGTTCACATTGTGTTTATACAGGGTGATTAAAAAAAAAGTGACCCGCACTCAAGATTTTTTTTTTACTTAAGCAATCAAATTAGATACACCGAAGAAATATGTCTTAAAAGAGCATGTTCTTCCACTCATCTGAAAAAAAACCCAATCACTAAATTTGATCATGCCATCCAAAGTTATGCATGTTTTACTTAAAAGAACCTGTTTGTGTAGCTGTCCAAGGAATGTGATAATATTGAAAGCTAAATGAGCTAAGTGAGAATTACAGATTACACACAAGTATTCAAATACAAATGAGATTTTAATAATTGAAATCAAGAGAATTTTTACTATCAGGTTGTGTGTTTTGAATATGAGAAGCAAGTTAACTCTCTTTTTTTCTTCGAAATATCGATGGTGATTTTTGTATCTCTTCCTTTGCAAGTTCTCGTTCATTCATGGAGGTGGGAAGACAATTGATGTTTCATTATCCTCATTGGGAGATGTATTATCAGTTCACAGCACGGTAATTGATAAGTGGTGGACAGCCAAGTTTTGTGATCGTTTTATTGAAATAAACATTAATTGGGAATAGAGTTTGCAATTTAAGTGAAATTTTCACAGTTAATAGTCAATAAGATGCAGACTTGTATTCGAGTCACGAAACATCGAGTCCAAGTCCGAGTCTGAGTCACATTTCTCGAGTCTAAGTCCGAGTCCCGAGTTCTCCTGGTCAAGTCCGAGTCAGAGAGTCACAAAGGTTGAGTTCAAGTCCGAGTCACGAGTCACCTCTTTGTATCAAAAAACGTACATTTTAGGGAATTCAGAGATTCAGAGTCACCTTTGATATAGTATGGAAATACGTACATTTCAGGTGCTGTAAATTTTCATTTTTCCCCACAGCTTTTCTCTAATTTTCTCTGGAAATGAGGAGTTCATTGGCAAAAACAGTTATAAAGGCAATTCAGACAAAACTGGTATTGGCCTAACTTTTGCATTTACAGTTCAGGCGTTTCAAATATCTTTTTTTAGACTTCTATATACGTGAAAGGTGGCGATTGAAGTTGGACGTAGTGCCGGTTTTCTCCTCTATTTTCTTCCTGCAGAACTTGCACTCTGCACTTGATCTTCCATTGGCATTTCTCTTGAAGTTAAGATATCCAAAACTGACAATTTTTGGAGTGGATGCCATCATGATCTTCGTACGTTGCAACTTGCATACATACGTTACCGAAATGGGCAGATCAGTAGACTATTCATATCGCGTTATCGCCATGCGACAGCAATACACGTGTGAACGACAGGACGTCTGACAAGAAAAGTCTGGTACCTTACCCTATCAATCTTGCACCAATGTAGTATTGCATGTTGATGGCGGGGTACAAGTTTCAGTACATTGATTTCTATAAGTCAATATATCGGTAACCGGCCACGGCCACGCACGCACCACATCGAGCGCCCTGTACATGTATTGCACAGTAAAGAAAACGATCAAATTATATATGTGCGCGTGTGCAGTGCGGTAATTTCCGTCGAGTCACAAGTCAGTTCAAGTCCGAGTCCGTAGCCCCGAGTCCGAGTCCGATTCGTAAGTCAAAGTGACTCGAGTCCCAGTCCGAGTCATTAAAAATGTGACTCGAGTCGGACTCGAGTCCGAGTCCGAGTCACGAGTCATACAAGTCTGATAAGATGTACTTTATCTGTGTTTTTTTTATTAACATACAACGAGCCAAATATTTTAAACATTTTTTTTCAAATTCGGTCACTTTCTTTTTGACTCATCCTGTAGTTGGTTCAACCGGTCACGTGGGAATAAACTTGATGAATACATCCTGAAAATGGCTTTGGGGATAATGACAGTATATGGATGTGATTGGATGGAGGAGCAGGTATTTGGTAGTTGGTTTCAATTTGGTCATGTTACTGATGACGGAAAGTAACATTCACTCAAAACATCTTTAAGCACTAATATTTCTTTGTACAAAGGTATATGTAGATGTAGACAACAGCAAAAAAAGAGGACATTTTCTTTTCTATCAATCCTTCTTGTCTTTTTCCCCAAAATGAATTGTGTTCTTCCCCTGGATGTTGATTTATTCACCCATACAACAATTCTGTACTTCCCTTCTGTTTGATATTCAATTTGATCTGATAAGGAATGAAGTCAAATGGAAGTTTTTATTCACAAATCACAATTTGATTTCTGTTCATCAGTTGCCTTTTTTTTCTTTCCTGGGCAAACGTTGGTTGTCATCTGATCAGAGTTTCTTCTTCACTTTCTGGGGTTGTTGTCATTTGAAATCAGTCTCTGCCTTGCCTGACAATCCAGTTGATGTTGTCATATTCTCAGTTTTGATGATGGAACATCTTTGCAAGACAATTTGCAAGGGCTAACTACTTGGTCTAACTACGTGGTGGCATGGTTTAGTAAAGGTTTGCAGTACCACCATGTAGAAGTCTCTTTTGGAAAGATGTGTGGCTCTGAAAAGAACCGGTATCACACATCTTCCCAAAAGAGACTCTACATGCCTACATGGTGTTACTGCAAACTGCAAACCTTCACTAGAACACTGTCTTCCGCAAATGTGACAATTGGGAAGGGGAAAGTGTGTTTCTCTATTTTTTATGGGGGGGGGAATGTAATCCCCAACCCCTTTTCTTCCCCTGACATCCCTCCCCCCCCCCCCCCCCCCCCGATACTATGTAAATGTTTCAATGCTAATCATAATTGTATTGGTTATATTTCAGTGATAGATATAAAGTGTTTGAGGACCTACGTGGATCTGTTTGCTTTGAGCGGATTCGGGATTGCCCATCAAGAACTGAAAAAGATAGGAGAGAACAAGGCAAGTTTCCTTGGTAAAATTATTCATTCGGGTAAGACAAACTTCCATGAAGACTCAACTCATTAGTTCAAGTCCCCCCCCCCCAACTAACCCCTCGGACAACACTGAGTGTACACTGTTTACAAAATATGTCAGTCAGGTAAAACAAACATCTGTGAAGACTCATTGGCATTGGTCCGCATCTCAATTCTGTTTGGATAATTGTGAAATTTGAAATTGTGAATCAGAAAGTAGGAATCAACTTTATTACAATTGGTTTTCGATTTCATCCATATAATTATTGATCTTCTTTTTCATATATGTAACTTTCTTGTTGCCCTTTGCTTAAGTATTTTACAAACATTGTATACTCGAGTGCAGAGATGAAACTTTTCCGATTTTAATTGGAAATGCGACTTTTTGAATTTTCCAACGAAATTTCTAATTTTCTTTCAATGTGTCCCACAAAATTTGATTTTATAACCATTTTTTTTTAAAAATGTCATTTTATTTCAATCATAATTTCGAAGAAAAGTTGATGAAAACGTCGCTGTTGGAATGTTTCAAGGGTAGAAACACAGGCCATAACACTGATCGGAGCCTTTTCCGGCTGGACAAAAGGTTAAACATTGACAGGCGACATGGAAAAATCACTGTGTCGCACTTGTAAGCATTAAAGATGTATGCAGTGGTATCAGCGTACCGCACCGTCCGCTAGCACATGGCCGGTCGGGAACGGGTAGCCTTGTGTCTTTCGTGAACGAACCAGTGGATAAAATCATTATGTTGTGCGATTTTTGGAGGTTTCAGATTTGGTTGTACAAAATGCAATGCTTTATAAATCATGATGATTATCTCGAGGATAGCGAAGAGAGCATTAGCGAAACATTTCACTGGCATTTGTTGGAAGAGAAAGACGATAATGCCTGATTTTTCCCTTCGTACGAATGCAAGTGGAGTTGTGGAGTTGTGTGGTTGAATGGTTGAATCATGGACATGAAATTTAAAGCACCATGAACGGTGCCCTTGTCTTTCGGACTTTTTCCTCAACTTTCTCAAGTAAGAAGTGAACTTCTTTGTTGATGACTCCATTACTCCAACCGTAATTCAGGCATTTTATGGAATGAACACACTGACCATTTTTTTATCATCGTAAAATTTTGTTTGAATCAAAAATAAAGCAGGAGTTGGTGTCCGGAAATTGGGCATGAAGTGTATTTTACATGCGTATCTACATGTGTGTAACTGCAGCGCGGCCCCGATTTCCGACACATATTTTTGTTCGGCCTATTTTCCGATTTTTTTGCCATATGCCAGTTTCACCTCTGCTCGAATGTTGTCTGAGGGCTTGCAAGAAAAAAAAAAAAAGCTTTCTTCGGGTTGGAGACGAACCCACAATCTTCTGCTTCCTAGTGCAGACGCATTAACCACTCGACCACTGAGCTTGCTGTGGCAAGCTGGCCGTTTGGAGTCTGATGAAGCAGCGCTTAACCCAACTTTGTTTGTGTAGGAGGTCATTAGTTTGAGTCCCACCTAAGCCTTCGGACAACACTAACTGTACAGTGTTTGCTAAATATATCGGCCAAAGGCAAACAAAAATCCAATATAAAAAAGGATAATTTCCATCTCGTAATTTTTTTTTCCCCCGCCCAGGTTCCCTGAAGTCCATCCAGATGATCCTTAATAAGACGGTACAGGCATCAACTCCAACACCCTGGCCTTACAGGTGAAGACCCATCCTGAGCTGAGGGACAAGCTTCATGTCGTCACCTCTTGGGGGCCTTTGCCTGTCTACCCTGGGGTGGTCAACTCAGAATTACCTGGTAGGTACAGTGGACTCTGTGACCAAGTACCAGTGTTGTAGTCAAGTCACCGTCCAACGTCGAGTCCAAGTCCCGAGTCCAAGTCTCGAGTAACAAGCCTCGAGTCCGAGTCACGAGTCACTTGTTCTTAGTTGTTCACCGAACCAATCATATTTTTTTTACATTATTTTTAATCAGCCATTCTGTCTTTTCAGTAAATCCCAGTGTATAATGTTGTGTGTACATGTTGTTTAGACCCAAAATGTGTTTTCCTTTTAATTCCCATCCCTACGAAATCCTCCTCCATTCCTTCCCTCCATGTTTTATCATCCAAACATTATTCCTCAATGATCCTTTCCCATCCCTGCGTTAGTTTTTTTTCTTTTGATGAAATTACGTGACTCGAGTCATAAGTCACCAAGCTCGAGTTCGAGGAGTCATGGTCGAGTCCGAGTCCGAGTCATTTTCCAATGTGACTAAATTGAGATGCGCTAGCAGATCTCGGCAACTTTAGTGGTAAAAGGAGTGTTGAGTGCACTAGGGGCAAGTTGGATCTAGGACCAATGGTTGAATAGTGGTTGGTTGGTGACGTACGTAGCACATGCGCACTGAAATTAAAGTGGGTACAACTCTAGTCAAACTATTGACATGTCAACAGCCGTGAGAAGATGGTGCTCGCACATTCGCTGAAGATTTGTTCAACACTTGATGTTTCTGTTTTATTTACACAAATAATAGCTTTAAGCTCGGTGGTCGAATGGTACGACATCTGCACTAGAAAGCAGGAGGTCATGGGTTCGAGTCCCACCCGAATGATTTTTTCACTTTCGTTGGGGGGGGGGGGGGGACACACTGAGTAAACAGTGTTTATACGTCGGTGAAGGGCAGAGCCTAATATTGAAATATTGATTGCGTAGTTTTTTTATTTTATTGTACAATGGTGACAGTAGTGACAGAATCCTAAACTAACAAAGAAAAACTATGCCATGAAAGTGGAATTTAGTACTCACAGTTTTTGTTTTTCTGCCGTTTTGTTTGATATCGTAGTTGATCCCCTCTGCCCAATGTTATGACAAATGCCTATTGATAACCAGCTATAAATCGTGGCCCGACCAGCAACGGTAGGCTGGTCTTGAATAGTCGACTAGACTAGTCCAACCATCTTTGACTGGCGTGCGTTCCATCAGAGTTAGTCAAACTATAATTAATTACAATACCTCACCCAGAGATTCTGTGTCTTGATTGGCCGAGAGCGAGTCACATGGTACTTTCTATTTTTGCTATCTTTCAGAGAAAAAGCCAAAAGTACTATACCCATAGAAACCAAAGTACTATACCACTAGCAACCAAAGTACTATACCCATGGTGCGGTTTTTGTGTGCAAATGCATGCTGGCGTGCGCGTAGCACGTATTGTTTCCAACAGAGTTGGATTCAAGCGTTTTGTGAAAGGGTGGTTTGGAAGAGTTCCCACCAATTTTGTATTGAAATAGAAGTTCATTTTAACTGTGTTCAGATTTATGTAATTTAAGGTATTAAAAACCTAGCAGAATCTGTGGGTGAAGTGTTATGAAACAAATATTGAATGCCTTATCTCGTGGTGAAGTAAAACTAGCCTCCGTCGATGATCCACGGAGCATTCAATTTTGCCTTTGCTTCCCCTCAGGGAAATAGATGTCCATTGATAACCTGAGGCGGCTAGGTTTACTACACCACTCCAAGCATTCCATATTTGTATACTATGGTCCTTGATTGAACCTTGCTCCATCTAATGGCCCCCAGTTTAGCCAAATTTGTGCGTACTGAATATTTCTTGTATTTATTCCCTCCACAGAGGAAGTACGTTACCTGTCTTCACGGAGGCTACGGTCTCGGACTGGACGATTCTTGACCTGGATCCTAAACCGCATGCATATCAGGGACGTCTGCTTCTACCCACGCTTCATAAAACGATGCATGCCATAGATGCGTCAACATGTCGCCTTCAATTCTTGATTCTAAGCATTGCTTAATATTTAGTGCGGGAAATCAAGATTAATAAGGGGTGGGGCTAGGTTGATCAAGTGGGGGGGGGGGGTGATTGTATGCCCTAAGACCAAATTTCTAGAGATAATTATGCCATTGTATTGTGAGGTATTTCTTCAAGGTGCAGTTTTAAACTTTCTTCACAGTTCGCTCTTTTAGTTTCAAGTAGTTTTGGGTTTTTTAACCAAAACTCATAACAAATTGCAAGGGTTCAACCTAACATTTCTTATGAAATTTGGCCAAAACAGGACTTGCCTCCAAATGACTCGGAAATTCCCTACGATGTAAGATGAGTTTCAATCAGTGTTCAAAAATCCATTTTTATGAAGATTTGAGCAAAAATTACCGGTTTATTGATTGGAAAGAAGTTATCTTTTGTGACCACAATTTCTCCCACATTTCTGATGTGATTATCTGTTGCATGGAATATCTGACCAGAAATCGTGTTGGAATTGGGCCTCAAGTACTTTAGGCCCCCCCCCCCCCAAAAGGCTCCAGTTTCTGGTATGCGCGCGCGTCACTGTAGCCATGCGCGACAGCCAACTTAAAAAGTGTTTTCATTGTAAGATTATGTCTCAAAACCGCCCAACTCACTGGTTTGACTGGAATCCTGCTGCTACACAAGTTTAATGTGTTTTTAGATGGGGTTACTATCGAGCAAAAGCTTTATGTGGCCTCTGCAGGCTCACATATATTTTGCACTAAATTTAGTCGGTCACCATTTGCAGTCATCACCGACATTTGAAGAAAAAATTTTTTTTTTTAAATGCTGCGTCGCTGCACCAATTTTTGGGCAAGCTCCGTACCAGAAACCGAAGACTTATTTTTTTGGCCTCAGACAAGTATCCTGTAAGTTTAAAGCAATTTAAACAATTTTGCCAGAATTAAAATAGAATACATTTTTAATAAAATTTTCCCAAAAGACGATTTCTCTAAAACAAAAGTCCTTTCTTAGAACTTTATCATGTTTTGTTAAGAAATCCTTCTAAAATATCCTCAATAATATGTACTTGTAATCAAGTGCTGAATAGTTACTTTCATTTCTCATTAAGCTGCACTATTTGTCAAATATTATCATATATCACTTCAAGTATCTTTCTTTCCTTTCAACTGGGTATGTAACTGTCTAAAACAAAAACATTCGAATGCAAAACATGTTTTTCTCCTCATAATGAAAAGAAAATTGAAAAATTATGTTCAAATTATCCGTTATTTCCCCACTGATAAAAATCCATGTTCAAAGATTTAGAGACATATTTTTTATTTCAGTACTCAGAATTGACATTGTTGACCTGCTTTTTCAGAAATGTCTACCAGCCTGCGGTTTATTGATGCAACATGTACTCTTAAACTCGACTTGAAAAATACAAGTAGACGAGAAATCTATTGGAACAGACTTGCCATGCGTCCGATTTAGTAACTGCAAAACTTAGACGTTATTGCCCTCTTTAATATCAATAGATCTGCTCAAAGTATGTACAAGTATGTTCAGTCAAAGTTACGAAAGGAAATTTGAACTGCATGTGACAGTATAATTTGTTTTAACATTGTTTCATTTTGTCTAACAAATATTGGTGTCCAAATTCACGCTCTGGTTTTTGGAAATGATTGCATTTTCTCAGTGATTGTTACAAGGTTAACACTGGATTTCTTTGTCTTGTTGTTTTATTTCTTGCTATGATTCAAATGATTTTCTAGTTTAAGGTTTCTGGAATGAATAGATTGAATAAAATTGCAGAGTGCAACTACTAAGCTCTGTGTATAAGGTGTGACATTTGAAATATTTAACTTTTATTATTTTGTTTCTCTCAAATGCGTGGCCAAAAAAAAGAAGACTTTTCTCCAAACGACTCCGAAACCTCTTTCGATATCAGATGAGTATCTATCAACATTCAAGCACATTATTTTGAAGATTTGGGCAAAAAATCACCGACTAATTGATAAAAAAAATATCATTTTTAGCCAATCTTTCAATAGAGGGCGCGCCACATGCACAGTGGTCGCTACTCGTACCGCGTCAACACAGATGTCCGACTTTTGAGTAAAAAGAAGACATCTATCTCAAATATTGAGTAATGCATTAAATTGAACGGTGGCCAGATGGTTTATCATGAAAAAAAGACAAACTAGACAGAAGATTAAAACAAAATATTGTTTTTCTCTCCCTCAACAGTTTCTGGTGTCAACGCAGAGAAAAACTTGGAGATAGGATGCAGTCCCAGTCCAAACACTTTTTTCTCACTTTTTGCTCGAAAACGATAGTCCTGGTCGACAAACTATCTCAAAAATTGAGTAATGCATTAAATTGAACGGTGGCCAGGTGATTTATCCTGAAAATCGACAAACTAGACAGAAGATTTAGACAAAATATTGTTTTTCTCTCCCTCAACAGTGTCTGGTGTCAACGCAGAGAAAAACTTGGAGATAGGATGCAGTCCCAGTCCAAACATACTATTTTTCTCACTTTTTGCTCGAAAACGATAGTCCTGGTCGACAAACTCTCTCAAAAATTGAGTAATGCATTAAATTGAACGGTGGTCAGGTGATTTATCATGAAAAATAGACAAACTAGACAGAAGATTTAGACAAAATATTGTTGTTCTCTTCCTCAACAGTGTCTTGTGTCAACGCAGAGAAAAACTTGGCGATAGGATGCAGTCCCAGTCCAAACATACTATTTTCCTCACTTTTAGCTCGAAAACGATAGTCCTTGACGACAAACTCTCTCAAAACTTGAGTAATGCATTGAATTGAACAGTGGCCAGGTGATTTATCATCAAAAATAGACAAACTAGACAGAAGATTTAGACAAAATATTGTTGTTCTCTTCCTCAACAGTGTCTTGTACAACACTGAGAAAAAGTTGGCGATATGATGCAGTCCTAGTCCAAACATACCATTTTCCTCACTTTTTGCTCGAAAACGATAGTCCTTGACGACAAACTATCTCAAAAATTAAGTAACGCATTAAATTGAACGGTGGTCAGGTGATTTATCATGAAAAATAGACAAACTAGACAGAAGATTTAGACAAAATATACTTGTTCTCTTCCTCAACAGTGTCTTGTGTCAACGCAGAGACAAACTTGGCGATAGGATGCAGTCCCAGTCCAAACATACTATTTTCCTCACTTTTAGCTCGAAAACGATAGTCCTTGACGACAAACTATCTCAAAAATTAAGTAATGCATTAAATTGAACGAATGTCAGATGATTTATCATGAAAAATAGACAAACTAGACAGAAGATTTAGACAAAATATTGTTTTTCTCTCCCTCAACAGTGTCTAGTGTCAACGCAGAGAAAAACTTGGCGATAGGATGCAGTCCCAGTCCAATCATACCATTTTTCTCACTTTTTGCTCGAAAACGATAGTCCTTGACGACAAACTATCTCAAAAAGTAAGTAACGCATTAAATTGAACGGTGGCCAGGTGATTTATCATAAAAAATAGACAAATTAGACAGAAGATTTAGACAAAATATTGTTTTTCTCTCCCTCAACAGTGTCTGGTGTCAACGCAGAGAAAAACTTGGAGATAGGATGCAGTCCCAGTCCAAACATACTATTTTTCTCACTTTTTGCTCGAAAACGATAGTCCTGGTCGACAAACTCTCTCAAAAATTGAGTAATGCATTAAATTGAACAGTGGCCAGGTGATTTATCATGACAAATAGACACACTAGACAGAAGATTTAGACTAAATATTGTTTTTCTCTCCCTCAACAGTTTCTGGTGTCAACGCAGAGAAAAACTTGGAGATAGGATGCAGTCCCAGTCCAAACATACTATTTTCCTCACTTTTAGCTCGAAAACGATAGTCCCTGACGACAAACTATCTCAAAAATTAAGTAATGCATTAAATTGAACGGTGGCCAGGTGATTTATCCTGAAAAAAAAGACAAACTAGACAGACGATTTAGACAAAATATTGTTATTCTCTTCCTCAACAGTGTCTTGTATCAACACGGAGAAAAACTTGGCGATAGGATGCAGTCTCAGTCCAAACATACTATTTTCCTCACTTTTTGCTCGAAAACGATAGTCCTTGACGACAAACTATCTCAAAAATTAAGTAACGCATTAAATTGAACGGTGATCAGGTGATTTATCTGAAAAATCGACAAACTAGACAGAAGATTTAGACAAAATATTGTTTTTCTCTCCCTTAACAGTGTCTTGTGTCAACGCAGAGAAAAAACTTGGAGATAGGATGCAGTCCCAGTCCAAACATACTTTTTTTCTCACTTTTTGCTCGAAAACGATAGTCCTGGTCGACAAACTCTCTCAAAAATTGAATAATGCATTAAATTGAACGGTGGTCAGGTGATTTATCATCAAAAATAGACAAACTAGACAGAAGATTTAGACAAATATTGTTGTTCTCTTCCTCAACAGTGTCTTGTGTCAACGCAGAGAAAAACTTGGCGATAGGATGCAGTCCCAGTCCAAACATACTATTTTCCTCACTTTTAGCTCGAAAACGATAGTCCTGGTCGACAAACTATCTCAAAAATTTAGTAATGCATTGAATTGAACAGTGGCCAGGTGATTTATCATGACAAATATACAAACTAGACAGAAGATTTAGACAAAATATACTTGTTCTTTTCCTCAACAGTGTCTTGTGTCAACGCAGAGAAAAACGTGGCGATAGGATGCAGTCCCAGTCCAAACATACTATTTTCCTCACTTTTTGACCGAAAACGATAGTTCTTGACGACAAACTATCTCAAAAATTGAGTAATGCATTAAATTGAACGGTGGTCAGGTGATTTATCCTGAAAAATAGACAAACTAGACAGAAGATTTAGACAAAATATTGTTTTTCTTTCCCTTAACAGTGTCTTGTGTCAACGCAGAGAAAAACTTGGAGATAGGATGCAGTCCCAGTCCAAACATACTATTTTTCTCACTTTTTGCTCGAAAAAACGATAGTCCTGGCCGACAAACTATCTCAAAAATTAAGTAACGCATTAAATTGAACGGTGGCCAGGTGATTATCATGAAAAATAGACAAATTAGGCCTATATCATTGGTTTTTAAAACTCTACGCTTGCAGTACTGACATGCGTGAAATGTTTTGGTTAAATATGTTTTATTTTGTGTAATGCTCTGCAACTAGTTCGAGAATAATACCATAGTCAGTGATAACTCTGTGTTAAGTTTCATATAAACTGTTAAACGAAGTTGAAAAAACTAAATTCCAAATGCTTTTCAGGAAACACTGTGTTATTTCCAAACTTGTCTCTCCTGTAGTTTTCAATTCTTGGTCCAATCATGGAGGAATATTCATAAAAAAAGAATATTTATATTTTTAATTATATTTGATTCTGAAAACAACAGTTCAATTTTTCTAACATAAGTTCAGTCAATTTATGTCTCGGGAATGTAAAAAAAAAAAAAGGGAAGAAAATTAAGTAACAATAAAATAATGGTGGGACTCGAACCTGAGTCGCCTGATCGGGAGTCATATGCCAGTC